TAACCCAGGTTTGAGATGCGAACACATAAAATTTCGCGCGGAAAATTTCAGCTCGGAAATCAGATAACACAGCTGAAATTCTCAAAGGACGTTTTCTGTTCAAATGTAACCTTGCAAAAATAAATTCTGCCCTCGTTTATACCCATGTTCCATGCACGGGCATTTGAATTTTTGATTGAAATTTGGCCTAGCACCCATTCGAGTTTGCACATCAAAACGTAAAGTAGTGGAATTCTTAACAGCAAGCGTTTGCTAGTTGGAAGAGGGCGCGACTTTTAAGTGCATCGGCTATCCTAGTATGTGTCGCTATTTACTACCCTATTATTCCCAGATTTGTAAAGCAATGGTTGGAGTTTGTGGAATCTCGAATCTGGGTTATTATCACATAAGATGATTTTACAGAAACGCTCATAACAGATCTCAAAAGTAACTACGCGCTTGAAGCGAAGAAAAACTAATTACAGAGATGAGATGGACAGGCACCACGAATTATCCCGCTTAACTGCATTTGTGCGGGAATTATTGCACCATAATGCCCAATTTTTTCCCTTATATTATTTATTTTCGATCTGTAGAAGTCCTATAACCCTGTCGCGAGAATAAAACATTACAAAGTAGGCCTTCAAAAATTACAAATAAAGCTACTGTTCAATTAAGCATTTTCAGAATGCAGCTCATAACAACCCGCACCTACGGGCCGAAGAAGTAAGGTAACAAACGCCTTAATGATATAAAAGACAAGAAACAAAACAGAATGAAAAGGTAACAAACGCCTTAATTCATTTCTTCATTTTTTTGTTCAAGTTCGGGCCACGCTTCTTCTGGCTGCCGCCCTTCTCTTCCACAGCTTTTCTTTTGGCTGTTTCCGAGGTGACCACTTTGCTTACTGAGAAAAACGAGTCGATCCGGACCTGCTGGCCAGCCTGGCGCCCTTTCTGCATTTTAGCCAAGCTGGCCCTCACTCTGTCTTCACTGAAACATTCATGAATTTTAAAACTTAATACTCGCAGCCACCGCCTTCTGTCGGGCTCACCCAGTCAGTCCCTGCCCTGATATGAAGCTGCACAGATCTAACAATTCCAGCACAGCAGGCGTCTGACCAAGTTTCGACGAAGTGAACAGTTTAAAAAATCCTAATGTTACAACCCCGACATTTCGAAGATTTTAGCACTAGTTACGCTCAGCGCTCGCACAAAGCGTAGGCTGATATAAGGCTTAACTGTAAAACCATCAAAGAAAGAAATTTCAGCCCATACACATGAAAGTACAACAATAAAATGCTGTTCACAGGCGTACACACTTCTGGGTAAGCTCTTACTAGCACCTCCGTGCAGTAAGTAGAAAATTAGAAAGATGGCAACTGATAAACCCGAAAAAAAAAACGGAAGCTGTAAGTCACGAAGTAGCCACCAAGTTATTCATACGCTCGGATCCACCGAGCACCGGAAACAAAGACGAGAAAAAGAACGAAACACTCCCACACACCTAATTGGAGGCAGACCACGAAGAGCAAGTAATAACTGAAAGCTGTCTCAGAATAACACGATTTGGCTCAGTTCTACTCAAAGCGTAAGCGCGTCCCAGTAATATTTAGGGTTTCACATTAAAGCAATTTCAAGGCGTAAAAAAGCTAGGAAAAAGCAGAAAATCAACCATACTTGAAACTTTTTTCACCACACAGAAACTGCACAATTCCTTCGATGTCTGGATCCTTCCACACTAACTGAAATGAAAAAATTGCACATGCATAAGAGTACCGAACACTTCAAAATCCAATCGAAAATTACCTGCAAGTCCTCACAGTCCATAACTTCGGGTTCCAAAAATAAGCGGCGAGCCTCTTTAAACTTCCAATTCTCAGGTATAGCGTACTTCTGCAAATATCATTCAGAAAAGAGTGTATAATACGTAAAAATAACTAATAATTTTCCGTGGATTCTATAAATAAAAAAGACTGACGCACCGTCTGATCAAGGTTCTCCAGGACATTTTCAATGCATCTATGCTTTTTGATAAGATCGAATGCTTTCTTTGGGCCGATGCCACGGATTGTCGATGTGTAATCACAACCAAGCAAAATGCACAGATCCACAAATTCCTCCGTGTTCATCGCAAAATCTTTTAAAATCTGGCTCAAATTCATCTCCTTCACTGGCAATTTTTTCGCTTCACTAAACGAATTTTTCATTTTCAAATCTTTTACAAAAGAAAATGGATGGTGAAGGAAGGGCAAAGTGAGAAAAGAATAAGCACGAAAAAAAAAAA